ACAAAATATATAAAGAATTCACACAACTCCATGCCAGGAAGACAAACAATCCAATTAAAAAATGCGCAAAGGTCCTGAACAGAGATTTCTCCAAGGAGGACATACACAGGGCTCAGAGACATATGAAAAGATGCTCAGTATCACTAGCCATCAGAGAAATACAAATTAAAACCAAAATAAGATACCACTTCACACTGGCCAGAATGGCCATCATAAACAAATCAACAAACAAGTGCTGGTGAGGTTAAGGAGAAAAGGGAACCCTAGTGCACTGTTGGTGGGAATGCAGCTGCAGCCGCTGGTGCAGCCACTATGGAAAACAGTTTGGAATTTCCTCAGAAAGCTAAAAATGGAACTGCCTTTTGACCCAGTGGTTCCACTGCTAGGATTATACCTTAAGAATCCTGAAACACCAATTCAAAAGTATCTATGCACCCCAATGTTCATAGCAGCACAATTTACAATAGCCAAGTGCTAGAAGCAACCTAAGTGCCCATCAGTAAATGAGTGGACCAAAAAAGTATGGTACATTTACACAATGGAATACAACGCAACAGAAAGAATGAAAGAGCTACTACCCTTCGCAACAGCATCAGTAGAACTAGAGGGCATTATGCTGAGTGAAATAAGCCAGGGGGTGAAAGACAAATACCATATGATCTCACCTATAAGTGGCATCTAATCAACAAAACAAACAGGCAAGGAAAATATAAACAGCAACATTGAAAGAAAAAACAAACTGACAGTAATGAGAGGGAAGAAGGGAGGTGGGAAATGGGGAAGAGAAGGGGAAGCGTCAAATTAGGGAACAGGTATAAGGGACCCATGGAGCCAAAGTGGGGAAGGGTTGAGGGTGGGAGGTGCGGGTGGGTGGGGCAGGCGAAAGCTGTGGTGGGAAAATGGAGACAAATGCATTTGAACAATAAAAAAAATAAAAAAATAAAAATAAATAAAATCTTTAAAAATAAAAAATAAATAAATATGTATTTTAACTTGCTATTGTGTCATAAACACTCAAAATCATTATTATTGGGAAAATTAATTTTAATCATTAATACTACACATAAGTTTATTATTATAGCTTTAACTTCTCTTGCTTAGATATTTATATGTTTCATGAAAGTGGAAGATGTACTTCTTGGGACACAAAGTTTTCTCCCCATTTCTAATTATTTTATGTTACATACAAGGGGGTGTTCATGCAAATGAAAGGCTTATGCATGATACTATAATGGTGGAAAAATGTCATTCATTATATATTTGTCAAAACACACAGAACATCCTCCAAGAGTAAACCTAATGTAAGCTATCCACTTTGGATGACAAGGATGTGTCAATGTCGGTTCATCACCTGTAACAAATAGGAGACTCAGGCGGGAGATGTTGATGCTGATGGAGGCTGAACATGTTTGGGGCAGAGAGTAATTAAGAATTCTGTACTTGCTATGAACCTAAAGCTGCTCTAAAAATAAAGTCTACTTAAAAGCCTAAAAATTTTTAGAAAGTTTTTTACCTGCTGTTTTAACTGAATTTCTTAGAACAAGTGAAGGGAGTCATTCTATGAAGCTTGATTGGATTTGTGACTTTCTTTGGCAAATAGAATTCTCAGACTTGAGCAATGATTGGTCAACAAGTTTTGAGTCTTAGGCATCTAGAGGTCATACAATGGCTACGTCCTCTGAACTTCTAACTCGCTTAAAAAAGGCTTGTATATTGGAAGGACGAAAGACAAGGTGCAGTAACTTCAGCCAATAGTCAAATGATGGCCAAATGTGGGAATGAAGCTTCCTAAAACAGACAGCTACAAGACGATAGTCAGCGGACTACATATCCATGAAGAAGTCCCGCCAACATTAGAGATTATAGAAATGCACAGTCAGTCCACAGATACCTAAATTAATTGAATGTTTATTGTTTTAAGCTACTTGGATTTGTGTCTGTATAACATTCCTGTGGCAATAGGTCATTGATATTGTACCTGTTTAAAATGTCCATTAGAATATAAAAAGTTAAGCATGCCTATAATTTCCTTTTTTAAGAGATTGTATTTATTCATTTTTAGCTATAGGGGAAGGGAGAGATAAAGAGAGTGAGAGAAACTGATCGATGTGTGAGTGACATCGATCAGTTGCCCCTTGCATGCCCCCAACCAGGGACCTGGCTCACAACTTAGGCACATGCCCTGACCGGGAATCAAACTGGCGACCTTTTTGGTTTGCGGGCGATGCTCAACCCACTGAGCCATACCAGCCAAGGCAGTCCTATAAATTCTTGTAAAACTAAAACCATTTTCTATTTGTACAAATGTCAGAAAAAAATTAAGAAGTTATCATCATTTTGTAGTTTTGTTATAATTAATATGCTATAAATATCATGAATCAAAAGTATAAATACAGCAACAGAATATAAGTTAACATTAACAGACATTAAACTAATAATCTTACCTCATTTCAAAGTTAAGTAGAAAATATTCAGTGTCATGTCGCTATAAAAGTATGAGCATTCATATGTGAACTTATTAAATTATTGTCAATTAGTAGAATATTGCCCATGTGAAAAGCTGCCTTTTAGCTAAGCTGACTTGTAAATAACATTAACAGTAGAATAATTTATAAATAGCGGGAGCAAATTTGGTCTGCTGTTGCAGACAATCAAATATTCAAATATTAAGTCACTTTTTAATTACATAAAATACGGCAAGGCTTTTTTAAAAAAAAATATATCATATTAGATGTCAACTACTTAAAAAATAAAAAAAAATTTAAAACCATATGAACTAACCAGTCCGTACTTTTTTACAACTTATTATTCAATGGGTAATTTTCTTAATCTTTTATTTTCTCCTGCTGAGTATCTGGTATCCAAATGTACTACATTTTGCATATACTACACATAGTTTGTGATTTACCTAATGCCACCATTTTTGTAGTTTATTTCAGTAAAATGAACTACGACTTGGTGCTGGTCTGAAATTCGATAAAAATGACTAAATTTTTCTTTATAAAGTCCAAGAAAGAAAATGTACTGCTGAGCTAAGACTAAGCATGAAAGATTTCATCTGAGACGGACAATTTGTCAGAAAATTATGAGGAGGTGCAAACAGAGAGTTATAATGGAAGCGGTCTTGCAACATTAACTATATCATTCTCTCTCCTAAATTCTGTAATAAATCCACACACAACACACGGCGGGGTGGGGCGGCCCGGCGGCTCTCCAGCCCGCAGGCCCCCGGCCGCGCGCACTCCCGGCGGGGTGGCCGTCCTGCCGCGGAGGCCGTGTCCCGCCCGCGCGTGGGGCGGGCGCCGCGAGTAACACACTGAGGAATTCACCAGGAAAGTGGAAGTGGCAGCCCAGGAAAGTGGACAACAGCTCTGATCTAAATCACCTTCAGGGTGGTGTGTTATCACGGCCAGTGAGAGAACCCTCTGCAAATAGAGGCAACCTGGTATCCAGCTTTGCTCACCAGTGTGCCCGGGGGAAGCGCATTTCACTTTCCTGAGCCTCCCTCAGGTGTCTTCAGTTGCCAAAGGGCATCGTATCTACTTTGAGGTGTTGTTGTGAAAGGTGTTGTCTGTGAGGTCGGGTCTTTAAAGAACATAATCTTGTCGAATATAAACTACATGCTAAATAAAAATGGGATCCCAAGCACCATAAACTGCAATCTCGTAACTGAAGAGTTACAGCCGAAGGGTTATAATTTAGGACGTTATAAACATAATTCAGATTACAGTATCTCAATCCAGTAATAATTTAAAACCGGAACATTAAAGAATCTCGAAACATTTAGGATCAAAAATGAAAACCCCACTCTGTCATTCTGTCATTTTTTTTAAGTACTACATTTTTTCAAAGTGGTTCAAAGGAGAGATTAACACTTTCTGGAAAATGAGCTCTCTCATTCCGACAGACCAGTAGGTTCACTTGCAGGTAATGCAGGTTCTGAAAATGAGCAGCTTAGGGTCATGAAAATAATGATGATTTTGACAGCTGAACTGTTCTTAGAAGTTTTAGGTAAACTATTTTGTATCTCAGCATCAAATTAGAATTTCAAAAGAAATCTTAGTGAGCCATTCACCATCGCAAGAAAATAATATATTTCCTGTAATAAAATGTACCCTATAAAATAATTATTAATAGCTCATAATGAATGGAAATCATATTTGTCATTACACATAGCTGGCACTAATTGAGTGCTTACTGTCAGGCTCAAATTCAAGCACTTTTAAAAGTGTTAAGTCACTTACTACTTCTAATATCTCTGTGGGTCAATCTCTGGCCCTCTTCCAGATGAAGAAACTGGATGGAGTCAGAAAGGTCAAGTACCTCATACAAGGTCATGTTGCTAAGCGGCTGTCATTGAGCCAGAATGTATACCTAGCTACCTAGTTCCGACCTTTCTGGCTTTTAACCTTCATGCATACGATTTGGATGAACATGATTATAAATACCCTCATCTATTTACAGTTCATTTCTTAATACACATTTATTAAGATCCTTTTGTGTCTAGGGCTGTTTTATGCTCACTTTTATAATATACAAGTAAATTCTCATGATGTCTAGAATAACTGTGAAGTTGGAACATCAGAAAATAAGTGAGAGTAATACTGGCAACTCTTAAATAGCTGTTAAGGTATGCCAGACACTTCTAAAATTTTTCACTATTTTAATTATTTTGATTTCTACATCGATCTAATAAAATAAAGAATACTGGTTCGCCCATTCTACAGAGCAGTGAACAGCCACAGTTTAAATAACTTGCCCTAAGTAACATGAAACTAATAAGCAGCACAACCAGGATTTGGACTCAATGGCCCACTGCTTGATGGATGATAAGAGGTAGTTTTGGCAGGATCAGCATTCCAAGGAAACCTTGCTACTGACAAGAATTTTGCATGGGAAAATACTCTAATGGCAGGTGGCAGAGATGCAAGCATTTTCCCTGGTAATATAACATTTGTGAATATAAAATGAATTCATTTTATGTTTGTAAATTGTTTTCTTATGGGAGAGTGTGAACGCAGTCCCCCACTACCACAAATTATGAAGTCGAGTTTCCCACATTTGGGGACATCTCAGGGTCCAGCACCTCCGGAGTGCGATGGATAATCCTCGCCCTGGAAAACCACCTTCCTGATCATGGTGTCTCCCCTGCCAGGTATGTATCTGTCTGTAAGTTGTATTCACATAATGCAGCCTGATATATGTGTGGGTTTGGGGAAAGAATGAATACTTATAAGAAAGAGCATGAGGCTCAGAACTATTTAGAAAATATAAGTTTGAGTTCATATTTCACAACAATGCTATAAGAAATGCAATTTCAAAAACCTCATCCCTTCTACCCCTAATAGAGGGGAATAGAAATAGAAATAGGAATACAAAAGGATCTTAATAAATGTGTATTAAGAAATAAACTGTAAATAGATGAGAGTATTTATAATCATGTTCATCCAAATCATATGCATGAAGGTTAAAAGCCAGGAAGGTCGGAACTAGGTAGCCAGGTATACATTCTAGTTTCAATAACAGCAGAAACTAGAAATAGAGGGGAATTTCTATTCAGCTGTTTCTGCTGTTATTGATCTCTTCCATCTTTCTTTCAATAAATGGGGAATAGGTTAAAATTAGTGGGGGCTTACTTTGTTGTATATATGTCTTTTATTTCATTTTTTTAAAATTAAAGTAAATTCAGAAAAATCACAAATATGCCAAACAAGAAACCAACCTGGGTCAACGGACTTCTGTAGAAAATCTTAATGTTTCATTGATTTGAATTGTTAAATGAAGAGGCACTTGGGGAAGCTGGGAGTGACTGCTGTGGTCAGCTTGAAGCTCTGCAGTAGAGGGCACCCTCCCAAGAGGGGGTGTAAGTCAGGAAACAGTTATTTTCTCTCCCTCCTGAAGGCCAGAATGATTATTCTAGCGGGACTGTGAAAAGTGGTGGTACAGAGGGTCTGGGATTTGATGGTTATTTGCAAGTAATTGGCAGCCTTTGGCACCTCTTAATTAGCAACTGATCTTGCCTAAGGGAAGGTGAAGCAGGAAGGAAACATTTTTACCTAAAATCCAAGGGGTGTGTGTGTGTGTGTGTGTGTGTAAAAGAAAAAAGAAACTTGAGATTTTATTGTACTTATTACTGAAGGAGTCAGAGTTAGTAAGTGGAACTTCAAAGGTCTGTACTTTTCACTGAAAGCCTATTGGACCTAAGTGCTTTGGGATTCTGGGAGGAAGAGTTCTATGCTTGTCTTCCTACTAGGGGAAGCTCGCCCTCTTGCTCAGTATTGTGAAAGGACTTGAGAAATGTCACTCTGTTAACAGGGGAGGGTAAGATTTCACCTAAAAACAAATGCCCACAATGTAAAAACGGAAACCAATTGGAATCTGAAGCAGCTATACAGAGAAAAGAGGTGGAAATTTTAAGATATTAAATTTGAGGCCCCCTTTACCAAAGGTGAATCTGGATCACTTAAAATTATAAAGTCAACTAAAAATAATGTAGCATCAACTATGAGCTTAGACAAGACACCAAGATAAGTAATACAGGAAGAACAGCTTTTGCTCCTTTAGGAATTCCCACATTAAGTGAGGGTAGAGGAAAGTTGGTGGAGGAGAAAATATATATTTAGGTGAACCATAATTATGTATTTAATATTTACTATGGTAAGTCCTATCACAGAGATATATGAATAAGGATAAAATATAGGAATAAATCTGTCACACGGGACACCTAAACAAACAAACAAATCAATAAATAAGGAAGATCTTCATGAGTTAGCTGGCTATGAAATTTGTGGCTCACCAGGCAGAATTTACTCTGGCTGGCAACTGTGTGTTAAGAGTTAGGAAAAAAAAAAAAAAAAAGAACTCTTACAGGTTATTGGTGGTAGTACAAATTGGTTCAGTTGCTTGGGGAATAATTGATATTGAAAGTCAATATCCATAGACATACACATTAGACTTCAGAACCTAGAGAAACCATTGTATATGTGCACCTACAATTACCAATATACAAGAATGTTCATAGAGTCATTGTTTGTGAGAGCAATTTAAGCAACAAAGACAATACATTGGAAAGAAATAAAAAGGAGAATTGATAGATAAATAAATCAGGCATGTTCATTCAATGAAATTTACAGTAGTAAATAAATTGCAGCTACACATGTTAACAGGAATAAATTTTACAAACATAATATTGAACTAAAAACAGTATATGCTTGAGGTTTATACACACATATGCACAAATAAAACTATATAAAACATGAAAAACATTCAGGATTGTGGTTCTCTATAGATGGAGTTGGTAGATACTGGTAAACTTTATTTTTTCATTTGGGTGACGGTGTCACAGGTGTTTGGTTTATTGTTCATTATTGTTATTATTATTTATGTCTTCAATATATAGTATATGTATATTATTTTATAGGATAATAAGACAAAGTGTTAATAATGGCAGCTATCTGTTCTCCTGATGTGGATAATCAAGACTGAGCCTGCCTCCCTGGAATGTGTTAGATCTTAAGTGCAGGCACCATTAGGGATTATTAACCTTAATGTGCAGAACACAACACTGTGTTTTCCATGTAGAAGTTTAATAAATGCCACTGCATAGACCACAGAACCGTCTGTCCTCTGTCTTGGAAATAAGCCATGGAAAGGGTGTCAAAACCCTGGTCCTTGTGGTGTTTACATTCTATCTGTGGAGAGGGGAAAGAGACAATAAACAAGATTATATAAAGAGAAACTATTTTGTGATGAATAAGGAGAGGAGAAAAAAATTATTAAAAGTTAATGAAATATGGTTATTTAATATTTAAGCTTCATATATGTCTGACTATATCCATATTCTGGGTAAGAAATACAATGTATTTGGGATGAAAACACAGCTTTGATAAATATGAGAAGTGGCTGGATATACCACAAATGGACAAGTTCATTCTAATGTATTGGTCTTATTAGAGTATAAAATGAAGAAAGATGTGGATGTAAGAGCTTTTGGGTGGACACGCTAACCAATGATAGCACGTTGTAAATATGCTTTAGACAATGTAGGTAGGCTGATATGGTTATGGATAATGTATCAGCAGGTTAATAATAAAGAATAAAAACAAGAAATAGTCAGAGTGAGATGACAATTTGTGATTCTACATTTACCAATGTGATAAAAAGAGCACAGGATTTAAGACTCAGAAAATGTTTATTTCATATTCCCTCCAAGTCAACATTTTAAAATTTTAGCTTAAAATAGTTAGAAAGCAGAAACTGAATATAATGTATATACTCTCAACTTTAGAAAGGTACACTAAAAGAAAAAAAGGATATGATAAATATCAGTGACTCTACGGTCAGCAGATATAAACAGAAAAATGCCTTAAAAAGGTTGACAGTATTGTAAATATAATGGCAATTATGCAATATAGATAATATTTGAAATGGAAAGCAAGTGGCAAGTAAAAACACCAAAGTGACTACATAAGAATCTCTTACATATTCTGATTTTTAGACATAAAATAAAAATATATATCCTTGATGTATATATGTGTATGTACATATATATATATATGTGTGTATCTGTGTGTCCATTGAGATGTGTTATGGTCTTGATAAATTAATTAATAAATTTATGTCAGATTGAAAGAATGTAATTAGCATCCCATGATTAGAGTTATATACAGGGAGACTCCAACACAATAGCAAGGCATTAAACAAGAATAAAACTATCCAGTGATTTAATAAGATGGTTTGGGTATCATTAAAGGACGGTGTAAGTGGGTGCTGAGTGACCAAATGGAGAAAATATTGTAGAGTGACCTCTAGCAATATATGGAAGGTTGTGAGGTTGCTTTTCAGCCAACATTCACTCTACTGATCAAACAAGTCTCTCAGAAATTTTTTCCAATCTATTGAAATAAGTGTTTCAATTATCATCCACACCTGGGTATTCTTGACTTCTCAGTCACAACATTCATGAATTTCCTTTCCCTCTTTGCTTAATAAATGGCACTTTAGTTTCCATTCTGTCTTTTGATGGCTAGTTAACATTTCTAATCAAATTGCGTTGCCCTTGAATGCCCCTGACCTTTACTTGGTACTCTTGTGATTAAAATGAATACTTTAATGTTATATTAATTTTCAATTTTCAAATATAGAACTTAACTACTTAGAGCATTGAGCCAAGTAAAGAATATTGTCTCATAGAATCCCTGGATTCAATAGCTTCACTGGACTAGTCCATTTAAATTGAGCCACAAAGACATACCAACCAACCATACAACAACAACTACAACAACAACAATGGTAACAGCAATAAAAACATGTGATTGAGTTGTGCTGGTTGAGGGAGAATGGGCTTTTAAAATCTGTGTCTTCAACTTACTGCTATATTTATCAACTCTCATAGCCAGGAAATTATTGTTTATATCTAAACTCTTCTGTTTCCCTTGCCTGAGGAGATAGAGCAGGAAAAAATATTGCTATGATATCCAAGTTTTTACTGTCTATGTTTTCTTCTAGGATTTATATATTTGAGTCTAACATTTAAGTATTTGATCCATTTTTGAATTTATTCTTGTGTGTGTCATAAGAAGGTGGTCTAGTTTCATTTTTCTGCATTGTGCCTGTCCAATTTTCTCAACAGCATTTATTGAATATACTGTCTTTACCCCATTGTATGTGCTTCCTTCCTCTGTCAAATATTAATTGACTACAAAGGCATGGACTTGTTTCACTGCCTTATGACCCAGCAATTCCACTTCTGGGAATTTAGCCAAAGAAATCCAAAACACTAATGTGAAGGAATAAAAGCACCCCTATGTTCATTGCAGCGTTGTCCGCAGTGACCAAGATTTGGAAGCAGCCCAAGTGTCCATCAATAGATGAGTGGATAAAACAACTATGGGACATTTGCACAATGGAATACCATTCGGCCATAAAAAAAGAACGTAAAGAACTTTTTACCCTTTGGGAGATCATGGATGGACCTGGAGAACATTATGCTAAGAGAAATAAGCCAGTCAAAGACAGACAAATACCACATAATTTCACTTATACATGGAATCTAATGAAAAAACTGAATTAACAAGCAAAACAGAGACAGACTTACTGATAGAGAGCAGGCTGACAACTCTGGATGAGGGGAGTGGAGGGTGCAGGAATAGAGAGAAAGGTCACAAGGGCTCATGGACGTGGACAACAGAGTGGGGACTGTCAGGAGAGGGAGTTGGGTGGAGGTGGAAGAGGGTAGAAGGGGGACAGATGGTAATGGAAAAAATACAATAAAAAAAGAACTAGGAAAAAAACCCTAAAAATAATAAAGTGGTTCACCCTGTCGGATAAGCTCATTTCTTTTTTCTTGATTCTCTGCAGCTGAATATCTCAATAGCAGAATGATTTTATTTTCCACAAAATGAGAAACAAAACAAAATCACATCAACCCTACCGATCATGCATAATACTGGTCATAATGATAGACTCCAAAAAGTACCATAAAACAGGTTGGCAGCTACTTTGCTGTGTTGAAAACACAATATTTTAATAACAATAACATGCCCAGTTTGCTCAAATAAAAGATGTTAACAGCCACATATTTTATGCATTGGATGGCAACAGTTAAAATAAAAATGATATACATTTTGTGCAGATCAATAATAATCCCCAAACAATTTACACATCATTTACTGCTTCTTACTATATTATGGCAGGTAGTTTTGGTATTCACTCTAGAGATAGATACAATCGTAATGTACCAGGGAAAACATAAAATTGATTTTTTTTTTTTTTTTACTGCTCCAGTGTGAGAGGATTACAAATTATTTCAGACTTTTCAAGTACATACAGCTTAATCTGATGTGTGGTATTGAGAACTGCTCAATTTTGCAACCCCTGAAGTAATTTTGAATTTCTCTGAACAATTATGAATTATTGCATTTTATGGGGAATATGTCACCTTCCAAAGATTACAGTGATGCAACAATTACAATTCCAGCTTTCCTTTTATTTCGGCTACATGCAAATAGCTTATATGGCTGAAGGAAGGTTAGTTTTCCTTTTTGATTATAAAACAGTAAAATTGTAATTTCAAAATAAGGAAGATATGCCCCAAATTAAAATTATATACAAAAATATCAAGCCTCCTATGGAAATAAACTCTTTTTTATTATCACCAGGAATATGATGACATTTACTATTTTGCCAGCTGAGGTTCAAATTAGATAGCTCCATATGCGACAGAAACCCTGAGGCCTGTGTGGATCCCGAGGACAAAGGTGATTGTTTCAATTATTTTCCTTGAATGGCTTATCTAGCCTTGACCTCAGCATGGGGCAAGATATTGGGAGCCCCGATGCACGCAGCCATGTAATTATGCATTTAAGTCTATTTTCCTAATTAATTTAAATATGCATGAGAAGCTTTCGCGGCTTGAATCTGAAAATTCCTGTGGCCTGGTCACTGGATAGAACCAAGGCTCCCTGACGTGAGAGCTGAGCACATCTTTCATGAGCTTTTGAAAGATGTCTTTTGGTAGGGGAAATCGAAGGTTCAAAATTTCAAAATTTCAAAATTTTTTCAATGTGGAGAAAATTCTGCTCTTTATCTCTTTTTCATTTTTTTTTTTTTAATTAAGAAAATGAGGCTGAAAAAATGCTATCAGCAATTGCAAGCCTGACTGGTGGCTCCCGCGGCATGAGAGCATCGGCAGGGTCACACACGTCGCCTTCCTAAAGCGATAGGTAAATCACTAACGGAGCTCGGACACCAGTGAGAGGAGGTAGGAGCAGAGCTCAGGGAACAAAAAGGCTCGGGGCACGATTAGTGACATTTGCGCCAAAATATTTCCAAGTGCGTGCAGGGGAAAGAGCAAGGGATGGGACTGACCGCGCCAACTCCTGAGACAAAGGAATGGATCAGATGTATTACCAGGGAGTGTCAGAAAGGAGCAACTGGCTTAGTAGCCCTCGATTCCATTTCTTGTCACCCACAGGCTCACGGGCCTGGATCAACGACCCTGAATGTGTATCTGTGTCTAGGATGCAGGTCGTTTCTCAAATCCAAGAGCATATTGATTCCTGCCCAGCCTTTCTCTTTCTTTTCTTTTGTGATGAATGTCCTTCAAACATTTGCACTGTATGGGATACAGTGGAACCCCTGCTCAGCTCACTGTCCTCTGTGAGCATATGCTGTTTCGTCATGATGTCGCTTGTCCTCTCTGGAAAGCCAGGCCACCCGCCCTCTCAGGCTCCAGCTCCTGCGGCCACAGTGCTCGCCACTACGGACGGGTGCTGGCTCGCTTCTGCTGCTGGGACTGCGTTTCAAGTTAGAGGCAGACATGCATGGAGTCAGACAAAAACTACTCTTGCTAAATCAATACAGAGCAGAGTTTTGTTTTTGTTTGTTTGTTTGTTTGTTTGTTTGTTTAAATGACATCCAATATAGGAAGATCAGCGAAGTTAAATAGCCAGCTTTGGACCTGCCCCTGAGGATGCAGAGTTGTAAAGAATAACAGCGGTCTGATCAGCAAGTGGAAGATACCTGCTTGGATGTGAAGATATCTATGGCCTCTAAGTAAAAGCCAAAAAGTTTAAAGGCAGAGTAGAGAAATTTAAGAATTTAGACAGAAAATATAAAATGAGCTAACGTAGACTTTGTTGGAGCAGCTAATTTTACCAGAATGCTACCAGGTTTATTGTACACACTCCAAATTCATCAGTGAATTAAAAAATTGTTTTAGTATTGTTAATTTTCAGGAAAAAATTGATTCAATTTCTGTTTTTTCCTTCTGTTTACCGCATCTGTACTCTGTAAGAATGAGATTACCATCTGATGACAATTATACACATTGGTTCATGCAGCCCAGGCAAAACTCCAAGGTTTAGACTTGATCATGCAGTATGTTAAATAGAAAGAGGAAATAGAGAGGCAAATACTCTATGCAAAGTATTTCAAAGGTACTTTTGATTTCTGATGTTAATTTACTGTGAAATATCATCTAATTTTATTGTAAAATATATGACTCATTTCTTAGATTCCCAGATAGAAGAAGCAATCGTTATTGTGTATTGGTTAAAAGTTTTCTAAATTTCTAATGAACCGATGTGCTGTGCTGTCTCATTACTAAATTTCCCACACTTAAATGGCACGTAGTGCTATTAGAAGTGTTTCATGAATACACATACAGAATGCAGTCTTAAAACAATATATGACAGCCTTTGGAATTTCAGGACACATACATGTAAAAATTAAGATGAACAACTTTCAACTAAAAAGATAAAATAAAGTTATATTGTCTTTGAACCAAAAGCAATAGATGTAAAATAAATTCATGGTGGTACTTACCACAGTGAAATTCATAACTTTCAATATCCATATTGTCATGGCTAAGTTAACTATCATGGTAACCAACAGCAGAAGGACAAAGAAGTATAAGCACCTCTTTCGCCATCCATAAATCCCCACTGGGTACAGTTGTGCGTTCTCAGCCCTTGGCAGGTTATTCTGTTGTGTTGCTAGTATGTATTGTTCTCGTGTCATCTGGAAAACAAAAAGAAAAAGAGAAAAGCATTCAAGATTAAAATCTATATTTTTTTAATCAGAGGATACAACATACCTAAGAATAATGGGTATTGAGTGCTCAGATTATTGTTGCTATGTAATTAAAATTAGTTAATTCATTTAATGAAGAGTAGTTCAAATGTTACAAATTCCTTCAACATCTTATCATCAGTGTTGTTCTTAGAGCTATTTAACTAATTGTTATATCTCTGACGTATATATTCTTTTCAGTCAGGGTTGCCTAACCCTAGGAGTAGCCTTTTCTCTCAGGAGGCTGTTTTTTTCTTTTTTTCTTTCTTTTTTTTGAAAAACAAGAGATTCAATAAACATATCAAATGCCTCTTAACAATTTTGAAGAGCAAATTGGGTAACAAAAGGCCAAGAGAAAAGGTCAAGAAAACATGGAAAAAATTGTTATTTAATGAAAGTTATTTTTATTACTTCACCTTAACGATGAATTTAACATTATTACCATCTTCATCACAAAATACTTTAGAGCATGTAAACTGCAAAGATAGTTTTCTTTAAAAAAATCTTTATTTCTTAAATCTCACAGATTGTTTTTCATGCTCACCAAAGCTTTCAGGAGCTGTTACAGTACAGTGACAGTACCACCAAAGAAGAACAACAACACACAGCTCCAAGAGACTAAGCAAACAGTCCTAACCTGGAAACTTTTCAAACCTTTGCCTAAAATGTTAAATGTTGATTCCTTTTCAAGTACTGAGCATATTCTAAAATATCTTGGTTGTTTGGCATTTTGAGATTTCTATAATTAATATAAAAAATTGTTTCACTAAGTGCTGTTCTAATGGAAAATTCTAAAGGAATCTATCGAAAAACCTACAACTGCGGAGATACTTATTTTCTCGGAGCAGCTAAGTAGGTCCCCTGAATGAGAGAAAGATGATTGCAATTTCCTGAGAATAACCTGTACTGAGATATCTCTCTGGCTTAGTCCTCTCTACCCTCATCTGCAATATGAATTCAATACTCTCAAAAAGCTTTCTCTGAAATTCCTTTGGTTTTCAAGGTTGTGTGCAATCTTCTGGTTACTTACATAAATTAGGACCCTCTTCATCTTTCTTTCGCAATTCTATTTCATACCATATTTTGCGTCGACAAAGCACTCTTTAGAATCAAATAACTTCTAAAATAGTGTTTTCTCAGTTAGCAAGGAAGTCTTTATTTTCTTTGATCAACATGATTATCAGCTTTCACAATAAGGTAAATGGACTTACTTATAACCCTTTGTAATTCAGGTAAGGGCTGATTTAACTTTGGGCTTTGTACTTTATGAAAAAACATACTTTTAAAATCCTGATAATGTAAATAAAATTTCCAACAAGATATTATAGAGTTAAATGAGACATGCATGGGCAAATAGAATTAGACCTTGTAAAATTTTCAACATTTTCCTCTCAAAATGTGGGACATATGGTTTTCAGAAAAGTCCATTTTGTTGAGTAAATTTAATAACATAGCAAATAAAGACTAGAAGAGAATGAAATATTCTAGAATGACCTAAACATAGTTCATCATTGATAACATAACCTTGGGAAATTCTGGTGAAGTCTACTGAGCTGGATGGGATGGCAGAGATAGTAACTAGAGTAGCAGAGAACATTTGCTATTACCCCCATACCTTATAGAAGGAGACAACAGTTCAAAGTACTAAGGCCAAAGAAAACCAAAGAAATGTACTAATTATTCCAATCTATTTGGCCTCATTACACACACACATGCACATATATATTCAGAATAGGGCAGAGTAATTGAGACTCGAGGCAAAAGTGGGTCTTCACTTGATAAAATATGTATTTAGTGACAACTATGTGCAGGTAGGGTTGAAGATTGTTGTACACGAATTTCACGTATTTGGGGAAAACACAAATAGAAAAATAACATCAAATAGTAGCATACTCTGAAGATAACACATATTAATATATATTTTAATAAGATATAAAAATATAAAAATTTAATATAATAAATACAATATGATATAAATAATAAAATTAATACAATACACACATTATACAAGCAATATCATATTAAATAGTGATAGAGGCTATGAAGATTAGAAGCAAGGTAATATAACGGGAACTACTTTAATATGGTAAAAATAGAACACCTCATAAAAGAAGGGGCGCCTGTGATGAGACTGTAGTGATGAAAGCCTTCTAAGAAGAAAGGTAAAAAGAAATCTCTGAGTGTTTGAAGACCTAAATAGAGTGAGTTAACTAAAAAATGAAAATGAAGTGGAAAGAGTGAGTCTATGGACCATTTTCTGAAGGGGAAAGAAGAACAACAATGGGATTTCATAGGAGAGCACAGAGTCTGGTACTGGGGTATTAAATCAGGGGCCAGTGCATGTCTACATGAAGAATATGAGACAGAGGGTGGAAAGGAAATGAGAACACTCAATAACAGGGCCAGCTTTTGAAGTGTGAATCTGGGATCCAGGGTTGCTGAGTTGCATTCTCAGCGGTGTGGTGGTAGAGGAGCTAGAGACAATGACAAATTACCCAGGCATCTGGATGCCCAAAGTAGGGGTAACAGGCAAATTATGTTTATTATAATCCAATGAGACTAGCTCTGGATCTCATACACTAGAATTCTGACCTGGAGAGTTCACACTGGCCTATGCAAAGCTGAAAGTCGCTTTGCTGTGGTTAAAGTTTGCAAGTGCCTGATGGGGGGACAGGTGGCACTGAGACTCACCTCCTCTACAGCCCGCTCCTTCATGGCTCTGTTACCAGAGGCTTGTTCCATTTGAATTTCAATGTCTGACACCTAGAATGCCAATATGTGAAAGTACCATCTTCTCTTTTCTGACCCCAATAGTCTTTCCTCTCTTTCAGTGAGGTTTGATTAGTTATTTTCTAAAATTGGGATGGGAGAAAGGAGGGCATGTGTAAACATAATTAGACGTGAGATACTTTCTAGATTGGTAGGAAAGGCTAAAGAATATTCCCATCAATGCTACTATTTGTGAGAAAAGAGGAACAAAATGAGAGGTGAAGGGAGATTATATTGCATATGTTGTAAATTTTCGTTGGTTAAATTAAGGGTAAGCCTAAGAGCTATTAATGGAATGCCCTGTTTTATGTTTTGTAAGGAAGAAATGTTGTCTGAAAGGATGACCAAGTGACCCTGTGACAAGTTTGTATCCCCATGACTCTAAAAGGGAGGAGACTTGAGCAACTTGAAAATGGCAGTATGCTCGAAGTTTGGAGGTGAGGTGTGGAACACAGGTTTTTTTTTTAAATGAGTTTTACCCAGAATAGCCTCTCCAATTTTGCATAAAAGCTTGTGGACATTAGAAAGTTAGTACAAGCCAGGGTACTGAGAACCTATTCTCTGCAGTCCAGACAATTTTACCACTAAATTGCCAATGTGATGACAAAGCTGTAAAGAGAACCCAGTTTTATATCGGAAACGATATAATTACTATAATTGATTTTTAAATATGACATTTAATGATTTTATAATACTATTACATAAACACTGGATATAATGCAGAGATGTAAGCACAAAGACCGGAAGGAAATAGTAAAGTATTTGTTATTTCACTCACTAATTTGATTCTTTAATATTAAAATATAAATTGAGCATCTAATTTCTGCTTAGACCCGCTCCCTGTGTTTCCTGTTAGGGGAAATGAGAATATAAAAGAGAAGTATATGTTTCCCAGAAAATAAGCTAGACAATTGGAGAAATTGATTTTGCTTTCTGATTATGGAGCTAGCGTTCGGCACACTTAAGCAGCAGTAGGCAACATTCTTGTGACCATAAAAATGGAACCTCGGCTCCAAAGCCCCTTAACCTTCTCACTGAGAGTAGCCATGTTCTAGAAAAAGTGGTAAATCACATTGGCGTCACTGTTCTTTGTGTTGATCTTGTAGACTTAACACCACAATGGTCTGTTATTTGCTCAGACAAGGGATGGGGGGCGGTAGGCTAAATGCAGTCTCCGATTCGCAGGCCGAGTGGCCGTCCGGCCTGGTCATTCTGTTCTGTGCTCCGACGGCCACTCACTGAGCTTCTCTCTGCCCCAGGTTCCTCGGCTCTCAAATGAATATTATGTTGGCTTATATACGAGCGATATGGGAGTAGAAAAGTAGGATGTTAAAGTGCCCTTTTCATTTTAAATGGGAAAAATACTCGTTTTAAAATTTATCATCTACCTCTTAGCTAATGGTTTCCTACTTAGATGCTGTATAAGTATTCACATTGGAATATTTTTTAAATGGTTGAAATATAACTTTAAAAATAAAATGGTTGAAGTGTCCAAATTACATGGTATGAATTTTATACAGCATAAAGGCTTTTTTTTTTCTGTTCCCAGAAAATTAGTCTAAACAGCTACTAATGTTGAGAGAGATTGAAAACAATACAGCAAAGTCCACTTTCCACAGCAGTGAAAACTTTCCCCTATCTGTGGTATTTAATTCTCAAAGGCATGTTCCAACATGACTGTAGTTAAAGTTTGCTATTTAAGAAAAATGTCTACATGGAGTGGATATCTTTTTTTCCAGTTGGTTTATGGAAAGTGCTGTAGTCAGGTTTTACAGCCTAAAAAAGAGGCAACCTAGCAACTGAATTTTAAGAATGATGAAAGATATTATTTGAGTCAAATGGGCTGCCTCTTGAGATAGGAAATAGAAGAGGATTCTAGCCACGTATGACAGAAAAAGGAACTGAATAGGCATTAAAAGGGAAACATATTCCTAGATGAATAAAAGTTATATAAAAACATAGTCATTTAAGGAAAGACTTTTCAGCGACCCAGTAGTCACTCTGAGCTTATTTTACATACTTCACACACTCAAAAATTGAGTATTTTTATATAGGAAATAATTCTTCAGTATTTAATTGAATGAAAATTCAATCACAGTTTTTGGCCTTTATTAAGGCCCATACTTAGATTTATGTCCCTGACACTGAAGTAACTCAATTCTCAGAGCCTCTCACATAAT